GGCCAATCACAACGCACTGGATAGCTGGCCAATCACAGCACACCTCGCTTTTCAGACCGATGAGCTTTGTAAAAATCGACGCGTTTCAGAAAGGCGGGGCATAGAGGAGAAACAATAATGTACATTATGTGAAAAATAATGTGTTTTTTGAACCTTAAACCACAAACATATTTCATTACACCAAATACACAAAATAATGTTCTTTTTAGCAGCATCATATGACCCCTTTAAAAATGTATTTTCAGGTTTAAATTACATGTTCAATATCATCTCACACCTTTGAATCCCACTTTACAAATGAGCACATATAAAAAAGAAACACCATGTAATATAACCTATTAATGCCAGTGAAGAGGACGACAGTGATGAAGGAAGTACTCACCCCTGTAAGATCTCGGTCTCTGGCTCTCTGGCTGGCTGAACCATCTCCTGCTTTAGCTCTGAGATCTCCGTGGAGAATGTGTCAATCAGCTGTAGTCACACAAACACACACACACACACAAAACAAGCGTAAAGAGCAGGAAATCTCGAGACGTTCTGAACGTGTGCTGGTGTCACTGATGTTTTGTAAGAATGGGAAGTGGCTGTGTCTAGAATAAGTCATCATGAAATTATTCCCAGTAAACCAGCAACTGCATCTGTTTCCTTTCAAAAGCTAACAGAGAGAACAATTCAGACAGAGACATCAAAGCACACTGTACGTTTTCTTTGATTATTCCTAGATGAAACACTGAACCACGGTCACTGTAAATTAAAATACACAATATTGAAAGAAAAAAATATTCTGTGTAAGGCAGGATGCTCTTCATTGCTAATCTAACTGCTTAAATCAGACATGAAGCACAGTGATTTTATGTCATTAAAGGTAAGTGCACTTGGGAAAGTTGTTTTGTCATTGTATTTTTTCACAGATCTTAGTTTCTCCTGATGACCAGCAGGGGGCATGTTGTTGTTTTTTTCTTTCTCTATCCCTTTTTAATTTAATTATTTTTTTGTTTTCACTGCTTGAAGTTCTTTCAGCCTGCAGAAATCAGAGAGACAGTCAAGATTTCAGTGAAAGCTGGATCATAAACCAGACAAGTAAAGAATCCGTCCACACTTTCGGTTGCATTTCTTTTTTATCTGAGCCAGCATTTTCCGCTTATAGTCATGAGGTATTTCTCTAACTTCATCTTAGACTAAGTCAGCAAACCACAATTACACACCAACTCTTGGCTCTTTTTAAAATCCAGCTCACTGCCAAGAAAAGCAATCCATAAAACCTGAAAGGGCTTCAGTCACACCAAAGCGCTGTAGATTATTGCTGAATGAGCTACACACTTGAAAGGTCAAGAATTATCAAACTAACATGAAATAAACTGGCTCACTGTAATGGCTGGATATGTCTCATTGTGCTTCATGTGTGAGTCAGACAAAAAATACTTCATAATTTTAAGCTTATTAGACAAAATGCAAAAGTCAGTGTTAATATTTGCACTTGAAAATGCTCTGTTATTTATGAGTTTATGAATTATAAGTTTATGCATGCCTGTTTCTGAGTGTTTATATTTAGATGATAAATGTCTACCAAAACATACGACCATAAAATAATACATAAATAATATATGGTTTATTGTGTGTGCATGACATGTAGAGTAGCGTTCAAGTTTGGGCTTGGTATTTATATATATATATATATATTTTTTTTTTTTTAGAAATTAATACTTTTATTCAGCAAGGATGCATTAAATTGATCAAAAATGTGAAAGTAAAAACTTTCACATTGTTGCAAAATATTTCTATTTCAAACAAATGTTGCTCTTTTCAGCTTTCTATTAATCAAAGAATGATGAAGAAATGTATCACACTTTCCAAATACTAAGCCGCACTACTGTTTTCAACACTGATAATAATTAAAGAGGGTTCTTGAGCAACAAATGAGCATATTAGAATGATTTCTACATTTTAAAATATATTAATATAGAAAATACTTATATTAAAGTATACTGTTATATTATACTGTTTTTACTGTATTTTAATCAAATAAACACCACCTTTGTAAGCATAAGAGACTTTTAAAAAATCTTATACTGGCCATAACATTTTATTAAGAGTACTTATTAATGTAATATTATTTATCATATGTTATTTATGCATTTATTTCTTTAGTTAGTTAGTTATTTGAGATTTTTCCACCTGTGCAAAAATATACATTTTGTCTGGTTTCACCAGATTATAGAGGTGCAGATAAAATGTGTTCTTCAAAAAATCTGTTCTTAATTTTATACAAAAAACGATCAATTTTGCCAGCAAGGGAATTTCCTCAAAATATATAAATGAGATTGTGTAATCCTAATAAACAGCACTGACAGAGAAAAACAGAAGATACATTTTCAACAGATTTACAAGAACACAGCAAAGTACTCTTGAGCTAATGTCGGCCAGAATGACGACAATAGAACCACCTATCATTTATGCTTAATAGAGCTAACAAACCCAATCCTGCTGAGACCGAAAGAGATCTGATCGAAAAATCATTCAGCTTGCGGTGCTGAATTCATCCAGAAGCAGAGAATGACTTCAGCTTTAGTGATGAGCCATTCAAAGAGGTGATGAAGCAGAATAAAAGGTGCATTTTCGCCGGCTGGACATTTGTTAGGAAATTCTGATGCCTGTGAGGTGCTGGCTGGTGTTCTGGAGACTGGCGAGATCAAGAGCTCTTCCAAATGCTGCAGTCATCGGTGCCTCTCTTTAACCAGCCGTGAGGTAAAGTCATTCACAGCACACAAAGCAACCAAGACTCTAGGAAACTATCTGCTGACATTTAACTAGTACGCTTGTTTCAGCCAAACATAGCCCTAACACTGAGAGCAGTGTTCGAAAAATAAACACTCACAATGACAGCAGCAGAGTTATTCAATTAAACTAGGGACTGTTCACACAAAAAGCAACATTCTGTCATCATTTACTCACCCTCACACCATTCCAAACCCTCATCTGTATTCCGTGGAAATAAAAGTTTAAAGTTTACATTTTAAGGAACATCGTGGCCACTCTTTTCCAAAGTAAATGATATCATAATAGCAGTGGTTCTCAACAAGCCCCACTCTGAGATAATATTTGAAGGCCCTCCTAACTGAGCTGATATGTACCTCTGGTATTTCTAACAAATAAACTTTGTTAGACTTCTTAATTTTAGTCTTTGTAATCTATATTAATTAAATAAAAAATGGTCTAAATTTAAATGAAAAGTTTGCAAGCTGTTTATCAGCTAATATTACAGATTTTTGTTGTTGTTGTTGTATCGTATAAACATTGTATATATATTATTCAATTTAATTGTGGATATTAATGAACTCATAATTAGTTTTTTTTACATTTAGTTTACCCATCATCATCATCTGACACTCACTTAAAGGTCCCATATTATACACCTTTCTGGAGTTTTATTTTAGGTTTTGATGTCCTTAAGAATATATATTTTTTACAGCTCCTTTCTTGGGAGCTCTGCTTAGAACAGGTCCATTTTGGTCTGTCTAATTAATATTCATGAGCCTCTCTTCTGATTGGCCTGTTGTTTTCTGAGTGACGCACAGGCCGGCCAGGCCACCCACAGATAACTAGGGGCATGTATGCTGTAGCCTGCTATGGCAAATAGAAAAATAGAAACACCTGTAATGATGGCCACTGCTGAGGGAAATGTTTTCCGGCCTTACATGTTTGAGCCGGACTCAGACCCCGAATCGGCGACTACAGACGACAACCAACCACCTCATCAAATGCGCTTACATCGTGAAATCGTGAAACGGCACAGCTACTTTATGCAGGCTGTGTGCATTTGTCTGTGGATTGACTGTTTTGAAACTTATATGGTAGTTACATAGCCCTTAGACCTCAGTTATCATGAAAAAAGCAAGGAAATTTCAGTTTTGACAATATGGGACCTTTAAGTTAATCTTTAAAACTGTATAATTGAATGACACTGTTAAACATAATCTTTAGCAAATATCAGAATGAATATATATATATTTCATACTGTACATTATAATGCTGTAACACCTACATTCACATTCAATATTAACATCAGCCATTTATCCGTTATTAGCCATAACATGAAAATATTTGTTAACTTATTGGTATCAACAAGAATTTTGATATTGTGCATTCCTAATATCATAAAGGTTTTCCATATGGCTAAGTCTTCTTGCCAGTATTCTATTCCATGTTTCATTATTTAGAAAACAGCAGTCAGGTTATTCTTTGAAAATTCAACATCTGTCCTCCACAGAAACAAGAAAGTCATACATGTTTGGAACAAGATGTGGGCGAGTAAATTTTTTTATGAACTGTTCCTTTAATAGATGACAAAGGTCAAATTCAAACCGCTCACCACAGTCCACTGAAGGATCATCTAAACTTATGACAGAGGAGAGATGTTACGGGAGTGTTTTCTGTTAAGGAAACAAGGAGGAATATACATTTTTGTTCACTGACGTTCTTAATCTTATGCATTCATAACGGACGATTAGCGTCGGAGCAAAAGCCTGATTTATTTGCCTTTGGCTGCATCTGATTGTTTACATATAACAAAGCTCGCACTTACAACTACAACTTCCTCGTGCATGAAATAATCACAACACATGCTGGCAACATGTTTGTTGGAAGAATAGCTTGCAGAGATAACAACTGGATCTATCATCCTCTGAGAACCTCTTAAGCTCTGCAGCTTTAGCACTGGCACAGTGAACGGACAGAGCAGCATTCCACGGGGTCTCCAGAGGCCCTGACTAACCTGCACTCTGTCTGGCTCTTAAGTAGGACGTGTACTGAAAGCAAGCTCATCCCAGTGATGGTGTGTTTCAATGCATCATTTATTGCTGGTTGACACATTACTGTGTAAAATGTCAACTATAGTGCCGTTCAATCATGACGTCAATTTGTAGGCCATGTGGTTACTTGTGTTTCTGACTACTACTGAACGGGGTTTGAGTGATTGGATCACAAAACATTTACAACTGTATTTAGCATTAACAACTTGGAATCAACTGAGATGAACGTTAAAAGGACATTTAATTCACAAATCTGAATGTCATCATTTAGCCATGTTGTTCCAAACCTGTATGACTTACTGTCTTCTGTGGAACATAAAAAAAGATTCTTGAAAAATGATTTTTTTTGTCCATACAATTAAAGTCAGTGGAGTCCAAAAGACTCATCTACATTTTTATGTAACAACTTAAAAAGTTATAACCAGCTTTTTAATATAGGAGGCTCAGTTAGAGAAGCTCATGTGATGATAAAATACAGCACATGCAAATCTACATCCAGAACATGCAGGCAGACACATTCAGAAAACAAGGCAAAGCTCAGAGGACAGTGGCGATATGTCTCACCTTAAAAAAGCTGCTGCTCCGGTCCATGAGACAGGACTGCATCATCATCTCTGTAGACATGGTTGGGTGTATACAGCTCTTCTGTGTCAGGCTGGGTCTCTGTGGATCACAGACACATACTTTATTTGAAGCCCAGAAAGAGGAGATCTCAACCCATTCCACACAGATATGCCAGAGAAATGAGCATACAAGACTAAGAGCAGGAGCCTGCCATACATGCACCTCAGGCACACTCTAAACTTCATTAAAAGCTCTCTTCTCATTCATCTCATTTCCTGCCTGATGAATTAACTTGAACTACACCCTTTACACACACACACAATACTTTCTTATACATCCACACAGTCACATGCTCAAACACATCTCGTCCAAGATTGCAGCCAATATTATCTCTGTTACAGCTAGGGCTGCCATGTTGTTTTAGTACAATTAAAAATAAATGAATAAATATATAAATATTTAATTGATAACATTAGCTATAACAAATTACACAGTACATTTGCTTAGAGATCATGGGAGAACTGGTAAAGCAAATAGAGATGACAGTCTGAGTTTAAATCTTTTGTTCACCGACTTTTGTAAAGAAGTTTTCAAAGCAGCCACAGGCATAATACAGAGAGGGGGGATCAGCTGGGAGACTGGCAGAGACAAAACCAGGGCAAGGGTCATGCCGCGAGAAAGGGTGGTGGAAGGGGCAGGAAGAGTAATATAAAGCTTTCTAATACACTTAATCAGCCGTGAATGCACTGCTCAGCTCAGGTAAGAATCAAAACCAGCTCAATATGCAAAAAAGAAACCCCTGGAATGTAGAGATCACCTGATGAATGTACTCTTTGCTAGGCCATATGTGCTGTATATTTACAGTAAGAATAAAAAAAGTTTGGAAAAAATTACAAAGTGTAGTGAAATCTCACTGATTTTAACTCCTACTCTTCATAGCTGTACGTTAAGTAATAGTATTCAAAAGTTGTTTTTTGGAAGGAAATTGATACTTGTACTTGGCAAGGATGCATTAAATTGATCAAAAGTAACAGTAAAGATGGATGTCTTGTTTCAAAAGATTTCTTTTTCAAATAAATGCTGTTCTTTTGAACATTAATCAAAGAATGATAAAAAAAAAATTAAGTTGCACAACTGATAATAATAAGATATGTTAACTCAAATCTTAAGTATATTAGAATGATTTTTGAAATATCATGTGACACTGAAGACTGGCTGCCGAAAATTCAGCTTTGCCATCAGAGGAATAAATTACTTTTTTAAATATTTCAAAGCATTATTGTTTTACTGTATCTTTGTTTGGAAACAATTTATAGATAAAGTGTAGGGAAATGTCATTGGTTCAAAATCCCTTGTTAAATTTAACAAGCTTTCTACATTGAAATGGCCTCTATGTGACTGATCAAACTGTCATTCATCAGAGTGGGACAAGCTACTGAATACTGAATAACCATGGATGGTCATAGATTAACATGTTCGAGTGATGTCAATATCACGATAAGCTACATATGAGCCGATTTACAGCTTATGTAAAATGGGTTTAAACCATAAATGGGCTGAAGTGACTAAGGACTGAAGGGACTATGGAGGGAGCTTTTTGTATTGTACACAACATTCTTTGACTTCAAAACATTTATGAAAAGTCATTGCAAACGTAAGTTGCATAAATACTTACTGCCAGAGAAATTGTAAACAATACAGCAATTAAAACAGCCACACCACCCAGTGCTGCCTCTGCAGGTCACTTTGTTCACGATGAGAGAGAGTCTTCTCTCTCACTGCAGAAGATTGTCATCAGCTGGAGCAAGCAGTAGCCCCTCACTGTAGAACACGAGATCCAAGGGGCGTGGTTGGATCCACATCTAGGGGGTGGAGAATGGTAGGTTTAGGGGTAGAGATGGGTGGGTTTAGGGATCAGGAGGTGGAGACAGGTAGGTTTAGGTATATGTAAGGTGGGAGGAGTTGGATCTGGATCCAACCGCGCCCCTTGGAACTTGTGTTCTGCAGTGAGGACCATCTCGGAGCAAGAGCCAGTACTGACCCACTTCCAGATGCTGCACATCCCCAACACCCAGAAAGCTTTGATCCAGCACAGCTGTCTAAGTTATGCACAACAGCTTTTTCCTCCACAGACAGCACAGTCTTGTTGTGTCAACTTGACTCCACTCTTACCATCAACAAAGGAAACACAAAGCCTTTTCTCACTGGTTGAATTTATGAGTTGAGCTAACACAAAGCTGCTGTCTGGGTGCTGACACTGTAAGGGGAATCATGGCAAACATGTGCAGCTCAGCTCACAAAGCCTTTGATGTGACCATCAGAAGCTTTGAAAAGAACCAGCATCTCCACCCAAACTATTGCTTTCTTCTGGACATATCGCTTTGACTCTTGTGTCTTCCAGAGCCAATTTATCAACAGTGCCAAAGTTCAGACTGTCCTCTGGGTGGAAGGTCTTTCAGTAGAGCAAACCCTAAATACTGGAATTCCCTCCAAATGCATCTGTTCACTTTTTGTTATTTAGATGTTTTGATTTATCACTCTTCTATTCTTTTTCTTTCTCCTGTCTTGCTTTCTTTTGTTCTTTTATGCAGTATTCCTGTCTTTTATCTTTGTTTGTCATGTAGTTAGTTTTTTTGGTCACACTTTATTTTAAGGTCCAATTCTCATTATTAACAAACCATTAACTATACGGCTTTTGCCTCAATAAACTGCTTATTAATAGTTAGTAAGGTAGTTGTTTAGATTGAGTATTGCGTAGGATTAGAGATGTAGAATATGGTCATGCACAATATATGCTTTACTAATAAACAGCCAATATAGTAATAATAGGCATGCTAATATACCACTAGCTAATAGTGAGAATTGGTCCCTAATACTAAATTTATAACTTTTTTAAAGATTAATAATAATAATAGTTATTAATTCATTGAACTTTATTTCCAGATTCAAGGTCCTTTAGCGAAACAATAAGTGTTATTATTATTAATGTTGTTGTTTAATAATTTGAATAATATTCTAATGATGACGACATTTGGTAACACTTTATAGGGACCAATTCTCATAATCCAATTGTTATTAGAATGATTAATCAACTAGCCTAATCATCAATTATTTAACCGATTAATCAGTAGGCTTTGAACCATTATTCCACTTTTGTTTTTTATTATAGCTCAGTCTCTCTCCTCCAAATCAATACCACAGTTCTTAGCTCTTGTTTTTTTCTCTCTCTATTCCTGACCAGTCATCATGCTCCACGGCAAGCCTCAGTACAATCCAAACGGCACAACTCTTACAACCACCCAGCTGCTTGGAAGGAATACATCAGCGAAAACTGAGATTAACATTTTTATGTTGTTGTGGTGGTGGTTTTTCAGGAAATCAGTCTGAGTTTGTGGTTTTTCAGTATGAGTGAGGTCCAGGTATTTCCTGTGAAGCATTGTTCCTGCGCTGACAGAGATGGATTGAGTTTGATATGTTAATTTACTCCTCTTTGTGAAGGGGCTTCACCTCATGTTGTTGCTGTAATGAGGCATCAACACATTCATCTTTCTTCAGCAGGGCTCAACAACATTTTTTCTGCTTGCACTGCCAACATTACATGGTCCACATCTATATCCATAAACATATGTTTGCTGGAAAATTATGACATATGATGCAAAACAAGTGACAGCTCCTTCATCTGGCTCGAAACTCTTACAATGGCCCCAGGACATCAAGCGAACCATTGTTGAGCCCTGCTCAGTATATAAACCAGAGAAAGCAAGCTGTTATCTGTTTTTGAAAAACTCAAGTCACACATGCATACGGCTCAGTGTGTAAATTTGCCTACCGTAGCAATAGGAGCACAGAGGATGCAGTATGCACAGTGCTGCACTCGGTACTCACACACTAATCTGTATAGTATCTTCATAGTACACCTATCTGTATATCATGCTGATAGTATTTAAAAATCTGTAAATTATGTCCATAGTACTGCCTTATCTGTATATTTATTGTACATTTTTTTAACATATTGGAGACACTGTATAGCCTGTACTTACTGCTTATTGCACTTCTGGTTAGATGCTAACTGCATTTCGTTGTCTTGTACCTTACATGTGCAATGACAATAAAGTTGAATCTAATCTAATCTAAACAGGAAACCCCTTGGACTGCCAGCACGGGCAGAATAAACAGGCCAAGTTATTAACTGGCCACTGTGGAGCGCAGACACGCAGAGAGAGAAAGTCCAGTCCAATTGGTCGTTTATCTCCCTCGTCCGCTATCATCTCAATAGGGATGTCACGGCACTGGGATACACGGAAAACTGCAGTTGAAAGGAACGGTCTTTGTTAGTGTGCCGTCCAAAATGTCAACAACTGCAAACAAGACCAGAGGCAAACTCTTATCCTGTTTCCATCCAAACAGGGTCATTTGTTATAGCGTGCTGGCTTGTACCATTGCACATAAGTTTCAACATGCCAGTTTGTGTATGTATATATGTCTGTGTAGATGTAGAAGACCATTCAGCTGGGCTGTTTGGACCCACACAAAGGCACATCTGAACTACGAGGCACAGAGCGCCTCTGTGTCCTGCATACAGATGCACACATAACAGGTGCGTGGTAGCAGAGAGGATTTTCTGTAGTCTGGAGAGACCTGTCAGGGCTTGAGAGGAAATGGAGCTTGCAAGCAATTAAAGGGGCTGAACCATAAACAAAAATAACAAATATAACAAGAATGTGAGACGCAACTCAGTATTTCTGGTACTTATCCTGGGCTGATGTAAACACAAAACAAGAACTTTGAGTGCAGCACATTTTAATATACAGTATGCATGACAGTGAACAGTGGGACAGTGAATGCCACAACATGTCACTCTTTAAAAAAAAAAGAAAAAACATTGACAGCCTTGAAAATCGCGGGAAAACAGTGCAGCATGACTAAAGAAATGAGTGAGAAACAAATCCAAATGTCACACACAAACAAAATTCACACTTCATTAAATGTGTGACAGTTTACCCAATGATAAAAATGTCTAGAAAGCTCTTGTATAAAAAAAAGCATGGCTGACATTCTGTACAAGATAACCATTTGTGCTTTCCTGTGATTATATATTTCCTTTATGTTACTTCTTGTGCAATAATAATGCACCGGCACATATATTTAGACTACCATTCAAATCTGTAAGATTTTCTAATGTTTTTTGGAAGAAGCCTCTTATGCTCATCAAGGCTGTATTCATTTTTTTTAAAAATAAGAGTAAAAACCGTAATATTGTGAAACATTATTACAATTTAAATGAACTGTTTCTATTTATTCATCTGATGACAATGTTTAATTCAGTGTATCACATGCTCCTTAGAAAATCATACTAAAAAGAAACAGCATTGATTTGAAAATCTTTTGTAACATTTAACATTTTCCACCCTTTCTCAAGACTTTGACATAAATACCCTTTGATTGGCTAAACTACTTGCATGTGAGATGAGAAACAGCACTAACAGTAATCTCATGTTAGTGGTCAAGTAACAGTGCTTTGCAATCAAAGTGGATCCGTATGCATTCAGCAATTGAGCAATAGGCTTTCCCCCTGTTCCAGTTAATGTAACCGGCAGAGGAAGTAACACTCACAGCGTGTTATTGAATGGCGTAGTCTTTCCAGTCTTGTTGGTGTTGGTTTAGACTCAAAGTGTGATTCACAGCTAATGAAACCAGACGGTTGTTTGTATAGGTTATGCAGTTTTTATTGAAAAGATCTTGTGAGTAATATTAAACAGCAAACAAATTAAAGACTAAACAAGTCAACAATAAAATATGTTCCCATGCAATGCAGAGTGTTAGAGTTTATAAATCACCCCAAAATGACTTTGATCATAATTACGCTATGTTTTCATTTCCCTTGAGTTTTCCATAATCTTGAGAGATAATTTTACAGCCAACTTAATTAACACATCTACAGGTGCATCTCAATAAATTAGAATGTCGTGGAAAAGTTAATTTATTTCAATAATTCAACTCAAATTGTGAAACTCATGTATTAAATAAATTCAATGCACACAGACTGAAGTAGTTTAAGTCTTTGGTTATTTGAATTGTGATGATTTTGGCTCACATTTAACAAAAACCCACCAATTCACTCTCTCAACAAATTAGAATATGGTGACATGCCAATCAGCTAATCAACTCAAAACACCTGCAAATGTTTCCTGAGCCTTCAAAATTGTCTCTCAGTTTGGTTCTCTAGGCTACACAATCATGGGAAAGACTGCTGATCTGACAGTTGTCCAGAAGACAATCATTGACACCCTTCACAAGGAGGGTAAGCCACAAACATTCATTGCCAAAGAAGCTGGCTGTTCACAGAGTGCTGTATCCAAGCATGTTAACAGAAAGTTGAGTGGAAGGAAAAAGTGTGGAAGAAAAAGATGCACAACCAACCGAGAGAACCGCAGCCTTATGAGGATTGTCAAGCAAAATCGATTCAAGAATTTGAGTGAACTTCACAAGGAATGGACTGAGGCTGGGGTCAAGGCATCAATAGCCACCACACACAGATGTGTCAAGGAATTTGGCTACAGTTGTCGTATTCCTCTTGTTAAGCCACTCCTGAACCACAGACAACGTCAGAGGCGTCTTACCTGGGCTAAGGAGAAGAAGAACTGGACTGTTGCCCAGTGGTCCAAAGTCCTCTTTTCAGATGAGAGCAAGTTTTGTATTTCATTTGGAAACCAAGGTCCTAGAGTCTGGAGGAAGGGTGGAGAAGCTCATAGCCCAAGTTGCTTGAAGTCCAGTGTTAAGTTTCCACAGTCTGTGATGATTTGGGGTGCAATGTCATCTGCTGGTGTTGGTCCATTGTGTTTTTTGAAAACCAATGTCACTGCACCCGTTTACCAAGAAATTTTGGAGCACTTCATGCTTCCTTCTGCTGACCAGCTTTTTGAAGATGCTGATTTCATTTTCCAGCAGGATTTGGCACCTGCCCACACTGTCAAAAGCACCAAAAGTTGGTTAAATTACCCTGGTGTTGGTGTGCTTGACTGGCCAGCAAACTCACCAGACCTGAACCCTATAGAGAATCTATGGGGTATTGTCAAGACGAAAATGAGAAACCAGAGACCAAATAATGCAGATGAGCTGAAGGCCACTGTCAAAGAAACCTGGGCTTCCATACCACCTCAGCAGTGCCACAAACTGATCACCTCCATGCCACGCCGAATTGAGGCAGTAATTAAAGCAAAAGGAGCCCCTACCAAGTATTGAGTACATGTACAATAAATGAACATACTTTCCAGAAGGCCAACAATTCACTAAACTTTTTTTTTTTGGTCTTATGAAGTATTCTAATTTGTTGAGATAGTGAATTGGTGGGTTTTTGTTAAATGTGAGCCAAAATCATCACAATTAAAAGAACCAAAGACTTAAACTACTTCAGTCTGTGTGCATTGAATTTATTTAATACACGAGTTTCACAATTTGAGGTGAATTACTGAAATAAATGAACTTTTCCATGACATTCTAATTTATTGAGATGCACCTGTATATGTTAGAGACTGTAACTATGACAATTACAGCACATTTCACACACACATTCAAAGAATTATACTAATAAATCATCCTCAAGTCTGATGCAGTGGTAAGACAGTATGTGAGAAGGGGAAGGGAGAGGGGGAAAACACTGGCATTCTATTGGATAATGAAGTCGTCTGGCACTGTTTTAGGACCCTGCTGCTATATGGTCCTCCACCTCACAAAAACCCAGCTGGAAAAAATCCAGCTTGGCTCAAAGCCTGTAGAGAGCTCTACCCGCCCAAGGGGGACAGCAGCCTAGAGGGACAACAACAGCTAAAATCTTCACACGCTAGAGACACCTCTGCTTCAGAAACAACATCAACATTTTATGTGCAACACACACGTGTCTTTTCAGATGGGGTTTTAGGTAACATACAGAGACAGAGATATTAGCTGTGAAATAGATCCAGCTGTTAGATCCAGTGTCTCTTCCATCAGAGTGACTCTCACCAGGTTTGTGGTCTGTTTACAACCCAAATGATGTGCTGAACACTTATGCAAATCCATTTCAATAAAATGTGGCATATAAACTCACACCTAGATTACATTTGTTTGTTGTCTCATTTGTGGTAAGACGTTTCTGTTGTTATGCCGACACCATTTACTTTAGTCACTGTCACTGTGGTTATTGGCATTATCCACGGTTATTGCAAACACAGAATAGCCTATTTAAACTGCCCAACACTAATTTTCACTCTGTTTGTATGTGTTGCTGTCAGTTCTGCAAGTTATATTGATAAGCCAGTAGGTGGCATCACTGAATCATTTACTCAACTAATTCAGTCAACCATATTGATTTATTTAGAAACTGAACTCTTTATGATTGAGTCATTTAATAATTTATTCTAACATTTTGTTCAAACAATAATTAATTCAGAAATTAAATAAGTGACAAGTCATTGAATCATTTACTCAACCGATTCACTCGAATGCACTGATTCATTCAGAAACAAAACTAGTGACGATTCACTGAATCATTTACTGATCGATTTTTGTTCAAGAAGAAAATAAAAACAAGTGATGAGTGATTGAATTTTATTCGATTCACTGAAACTGATTCACTCATAAACTGATGAAATTACTATTTTTATTAGAGAGTAAAGGAATCATTAACTCATTCGACTTGTTTAAACAAAGAGATTCTTTCAGAAACAAAACAACGGAGTGTTATTATAAGTGAGCCAGTGAATCATTCACTCAACTGATTCATTCAAACAAACTGATTCACTCAAAAATACCTGTGTTTTTGTCAGCTCTGTACGAACTGGGGTTTTTGAAACTTGTCTGAAATGTCTGATACCCATAAAAGTGACTGACACAAAAGTAAATTACTCTTTCTTGCAATACCCCTCATAATCCAGAGTCAAATGTACTAAAACCATTGATGCAGTTTCAGAATGCACAAACTTAAAATATAATAATAAAAAACCCCTGAAAACCAGAAATCTGACTGACAGTTCCTTCAAGTTAAAGTTGTTTTTAAGCTCAATCTCCTGCTTCTGTGTCTGAAAGGATTGCGGAGAGACTCAGAAAGGCTAAAATAATGATATTAACAGACACAGCTGCAAAAACAGTGAGAAAACACTGAATAGCCTTTTGTTAAAATAGCCATTTGTTACCGCAGACTGCACAGACCAACAAACCCAAACCACCTGAATGCCACTGATCAGGCTACATAAGCGAAGGCTAAAAGATGACCATTTAAATCTGATTCCATACATGCACTGACTCAAAATTTTATCTCAACCATATCTAGGCCTTCTCACAACATGGGATGGGTGTGATCTCAAGATCCCCAGACACATAGGCAGGAGAAATACATAAACACACACTCAGAGGAAGCGGGCAGAGGCCAGCGCTCTACAGGATGTGGCCAGCTCCACCCCACATAGCATCTCCCAGAGCAATAACCAGACAAAATGAGGATCAAACAACGATTTATACATGTGCTGACAAATTACCAGACTCATATATCGGGCTGTTCTTGCATTTAAGTGCTTAGTGCACATCTTTCATTCAGTTTCATCAAGTTTCTTTTCCTCCAATGCCCTGTATCTGGCTCCAAATGCACCTTTTGATCTACTTAAAAGTTTCCTCCTACTCAGAATTTACCCTTTCTCTCTCTGTCTCCATTTCTTAGTTTCTGTGTCAAACACAAAGAGGTCTCTCTTTCAGACAGTGCAGTGGGAAGCGTGAGGTGATTCCGTGGGAAAGGCTCTTGGCAGACTGGCAGCTTCCCGACTGCAAGAGCTGATATCATTTCTGGAGTCCTGAACTAGATTCCAAATGATCATCCGAAAAAGAAAACAATTGCTTTAACTTGCCCATCAGGCTATTATGATCCTTCTCATTGTCTTCAGAACAGGTCTAAAGCAGGTTATCATGATAAGAAAAGGTTTTGAGTGCAAAGACTATCTTCAATCTAGTCCACATGTTTAAGTTTATTTCTTTGATTTCCGTAAAACATAACTCCTCCCAACCAAAACAACAAACCTGTTGAAGGTTTTTAAATACCAAAATAGCAAAGCTTAAGAAACCAAATGGGTTTCATTGCTAAAGCTGGATTCCAGCCACATCACATCATCCAAAACTCTGAGATATGAGGATGTATGCCAGTTAAAAGGAACTTTAATATAGTTTAATGGGGTCATATAATGTTGCTAAAAAGAACATTATTTTGTGTATTTGGTGTAATGAAATGCGTTCATGCGGTTTAAGGTTAAAAAAAACACATTATTTTCCACATACTGTACATAATTTTTTCTCCTCAATGCCCCGCCTTTCTGAAACGCGTCAATTTTTACAAAGCTCATCGGTCTGAAAACCGAGGTGATTTCTAGTCGTGTCCTCTTTTGGAAGGCCAAAAAAAGTAGTTTTGCTTTCACAACGAAACACACAGCGGGCTAGAGTGAACGGAGGTCAGCAGGCTTGCGGCAACCCCATGTGACGACCCCGGGCTGAACTCCGCTTCATCCACGGTAAAAGCCGATCCGGCGATCCACAGCGCAAAGTTGATGTATTTCCTCAGCGACCAGCATGGATCAGCTCTAGGCATGACGAAGCGGATATCATCCTCTTTTGGAAGGCCAAACAAAGTAGTTTCGCTTTCACAACGACACACACAGCGTCTTAACGACATGGCAACAATACTACAGCGAGAATAAAAGTTATGCTTTCTTTGCGTGAACATTTGGGTGGCGTTATGCAAATCTTCCCACATTGTGACATAGACATGTGGGGGAGTGTTAGAACGAGCCATTTTAGGTAGGCGTGGTTGACTCTTAACTTTTATAAAGAATATCTCTTTGGATTTGAGACGTTAGTCTTTGCAACTTTATAGATCTTCTTTATGCACTAAGAGCTTATAACACTTCAAAGAGAAAGGAAAAATTTTAATCGCATCATATGACCCCTTTAATACATCATTTGATAATGTTTATTACCATAAGAAAAGCAAAAATCATGGTTACAATAAGACATTTACAAAAGAATTTAACAGATGTCAATCTTAATATTTTTGCTAAAGCACTCAAATCATCCATAAAAGGAGTTATTTCTAGTGATCGACCAATATTGATATTTTATAGCCGATATGATACCAATTATTTGCATGTTTATGTGCCCGATAACCGATATGCAGAACCGATATTTATTTACTGTTATAAAGTAAATAAATGACTGAGTGAAGTAAGTCCATACTTCACTTTGGTTTTTCCTCCTTTCAGTCATCTTAAAAAAAGTGTTGAAAATTAGCAGTCTTTCATGTTAAATTTAATCTTCACATTACAACAATAAAAAAAACATTTTATTTAAAGCATCAACAGCAACACTAATATTAACAATAAGCAAAATAAATGTAGAAGGTCTAATGTTTTCAAATGGAGAAAATAAACAAAGGAAAGGAGTCATATCAACTTCATTTTAAACTACAGTTTTAGTAGGTTTATAAGATGTTTAATGGGCTAAAGAGTGAAGAATAATTCACTGGATAATGTTAATTTACTGAATAATATTCTCTGGAATATTGAAATATAACAAACAAAACATCGTATTTTATTGCATTTCTCAACTGGCATGTTATATCAGTTTAAACAAAGAGATTCTTTCAGAAACAAAACAACGGAGTGTTATTATAAGTGAGCCAGTGAATCATTCACTCAACTGATTCATTCAAACAAACTGATTCACTCAAAAATACCTGTGTTTTTGTCAGCTCTGTACGAACTGGGGTTTTTGAAACTTGTCTGAAATGTCTGATACCCATAAAAGTGACTGACACAAAAGTAAATTACTCTTTCTTGCAATACCCCTCATAATCCAGAGTCAAATGTACTAAAACCATTGATGCAGTTTCAGAATGCACAAACTTAAAATATAATAATAAAAAACCCCTGAAAACCAGAAATCTGACTGACAGTTCCTTCAAGTTAAAGTTGTTTTTAAGCTCAATCTCCTGCTTCTGTGTCTGAAAGGATTGCGGAGAGACTCAGAAAGGCTAAAATAATGATATTAACAGACACAGCTGCAAAAACAGTGAGAAAACACTGAATAGCCTTTTGTTAAAATAGCCATTTGTTACCGCAGACTGCACAGACCAACAAACCCAAACCACCTGAATGCCACTGATCAGGCTACATAAGCGAAGGCTAAAAGATGACCATTTAAATCTGATTCCATACATGCACTGACTCAAAATTTTATCTCAACCATATCTAGGCCTTCTCACAACATGGGATGGGTGTGATCTCAAGATCCCCAGACACATAGGCAGGAGAAATACATAAACACACACTCAGAGGAAGCGGGCAGAGGCCAGCGCTCTACAGGATGTGGCCAGCTCCACCCCACATAGCATCTCCCAGAGCAATAACCAGACAAAATGAGGATCAAACAACGATTTATACATGTGCTGACAAATTACCAGACTCATATATCGGGCTGTTCTTGCATTTAAGTGCTTAGTGCACATCTTTCATTCAGTTTCATCAAGTTTCTTTTCCTCCAATGCCCTGTATCTGGCTCCAAATGCACCTTTTGATCTACTTAAAAGTTTCCTCCTACTCAGAATTTACCCTTTCTCTCTCTGTCTCCATTTCTTAGTTTCTGTGTCAAACACAAAGAGGTCTCTCTTTCAGACAGTGCAGTGGGAAGCGTGAGGTGATTCCGTGGGAAAGGCTCTTGGCAGACTGGCAGCTTCCCGACTGCAAGAGCTGATATCATTTCTGGAGTCCTGAACTAG